CAGGAAAGGTCCTCACTCTCTGGATTGAGCCAGAACAAAGGGGAGCAAGATCGTGGGCCGCAGGGCTCCTCTGCCCGTCCTAAGGAGCAGGAAGGCTGACAGGCAGCGCGGCCCAGCCCCAGCCGCAGCCACGCTTCACTCCTCCCCAGCTGGAGCTCCTGTTTGCCAGCCTGGACTGGCTGTGCTGCCAGTATCCTTTCCTGGGAAATGCCAGAGCCAAGGGGACCTGGCCCATCCTTGGAGCGTCCTCCCCATCCACTGCCCTCCTGCCTAGGGTGTCTGTCCATCTCCACGTCAGTGGTCTGGGTCAGGGACCTTCAGGGAAATCCTCAGACTTAGGGTTTGTCGTGTATTAACAGAGCACCGGTGTCTTTGTGTCAGGAATTTCTGCCCCTCTTGGAGAAGGCGGCAAAGGGCCTGGGAAAGGAGGGGCTGAGCTGCAGCAGGGCCGCGATCATCAACGTGTCCACCAAAGTGGGCTCCATCGGGCTGTGCCTTGGGATGCTGGAGGCGCCCATGTACCCATACCGTGCCAGCAAGGTGAGGTGCCAGGGGATGTCCTGGGACTGCACCTCAGGGCGTAGGAGGCCCCCATGTACTGTGCCATGCCAGCAACAAGATGAGGTGCCAGAGGTTGTGCAGGGGCTGCTCTGCTGGCCCTGTGCACAGTGCCCACGGAGGGGAGCCCATGGGACCCCTCTACACACCTGCCCCAGGACATCCAGCCTCTGTCTGCTCTCCCAGTGAAAGCACAGAGACTGTCAGCCCTGGGATTGGCAGCATCTGGGACAGAGCCTTTTGGGCTGGCTGTGCCAATGCTTTCCTGCAGGGTAAAGTCCCATTTCCTGGCCACACACACCTCCTGGCTAGCAAATCCCCTTGCTCCTGCCCACGTTCACCCCAACACCTGCCCATTCCCCTGCGTTGTGCTGGCATGGCGATGCCTCTTCCAGGCTGCACAGAACATGATGACAAGGTGCATGGCTGCAGAACTCAAAGACAAGGGGATCTTGTGCACAGCGATCCATCCTGGCTGGGTGAAGACTGACATGGGGACAGAGAAGGTACTGTGCCGTGCAGGGAAGGGGCAGCAGGCCTGGGTCCCCCCATTGCTCTATGTGCCATCGTGCCCCCACCTCTTGGGGAGGGCAGTGGCACTTAGGTCCTGAAGCCCTAGGGATGGCTCTGAAGTCTGCATCTCTGTGCATGCAGAGGCGGAGGGTCTGGAGCCACTCAGCTGGGGCAAGGAGGGAGACCACAGGCCATGGCAGTCCTTCCAACACTGGATGGCGGGGAGGGTAGTGGGGAAAATGACAAAGGGCACCCAGAGACCCAAGGTCAGTCGGATCATCTCAGGGCATCCAGCACAAGAGCTTCCAGCTGTTGCCAAGGCCATACCAAGTGTGCCTCCTGCACATACCATGACAGATGCGAAGTTGCAGAACACATGCCATTTGTGATACATCTCAGGAGAAGAGCATCAGGATAGCCTGGGGATGTGCCAGGAAGATAGGTGTGCTGGCTGAAGGGACAAGATTCATGATGATGCAACACTAGGGAAGATGTGCTATTGCAAGAGGTTTGCAGCCTCCAGCAGAGCTCTGCTATGAGACGTGGGGAATTGTGGCAAATATGCCATTGTAATGGATATGCCGCCACTGTAGAAAGTCCAATGACAGATGAGGTACCATGCTGTATCTGCTATTGCAGTGTACATGCTACCCTGATAGAAGTGTTTGATAACAGAGAAGATACCATGACAGAGAAGATACCATGCTGCCCTTGGCCAAAGAGTTGCAGGCAGGATTACAGGGCAGTAGCTGTTCTTCAGCAGCAGATGCAGTGCCATGATGAAAGAGTATCACAAGAGAGGATGTTGTGTGATGCCATGAGCTGCCAGGACAATATCCTGGGGCAGAGCCAGCAGCAAGCAGGCAACAAGCTGTGGTGTGCCAGGTGCATGGATAACCAGCCTCTGTCCCACCTAGCAGAGTGATAAGAAAGGTTGGAAAAAGGTTCCCATGACCAACCTGCCCTGCTGCAGCTAGGGGAAAATGGGGCAGCAGTGCTCCAGGCATGCATCCTTCAGTCTGGTCAGACCCTGCTGCTTTCTGTGTCAGTCTTGGTCCACAGCAGTGATGTTGACCCTTGTCCCCTTCTGCAGGCCCCTCTGACGGTGGAGCACAGTGTACGGGGCATCCTAACTGTGTTGGCCAGCCTCTCGCAGGACACCACCGGCGCCTTCCTCGACTGGGAAGGAAACAGCGTGCCCTGGTGATAGACTGCCAGCCAGGAGCTGCAGTAGCACCGGAGCCTCATGTCCGCTGTCTCTGCCAGCCTCCCTCTTGCCAGCTCACCTATCTGCTGCAGCGCTCACGCTCCGCCACTCGTCTTCTACTGGCCCTGGGCTGCCAGGGAGACAGGAAGGACATGGGAGTCAGCTTTTCTCTCCCTTTTTTCCCACCCCATGTGTGGAGTCTTGCAGTGCCCCTGTACCCTTGCCTCTGTAAACGGTGGGAGCTGACACCTCTGTCCTCCGCCTCTGCATCCACAGCCTCTTACCAATACAGGGCTTGTGCCAGGTGGCACGTGGCCGTGATGACCCAGCTCCTTGCTCCTGTCTGCCTCAGTGGCTGCCTGAGAGCAGGCACCCAATGCCAGTGTGCTCCTGCTCTGCCATCCTGGTTGCTGTTTGTCAGCAGCAGATGCCTGCCCCCACCATAAGGCCCATTGCAGTGGCCCTCCCAGCCATGGGGCAGGCCATCCCCTCTGTCACCCCTCGCTCCAGGCCCTGTCCCTGCAGTGACACCTGTGAAGGGGCCTGTACCCAGCCACCCCCTCACTTGCCCATGCTCCCATGCCAGCTTGCTGCCCACAGCCCTTTGCAGCACTCTTTGGGGCAGGTGCGTGGCCCCTCAGTCCTCCCTGGCCCATCTGGGACCTGGGTGCCTCTTGCTGCCCTCCTAGTGGAGGCTGGGAGCCAGAAATGGCAGCTGGAAGTGTCTCTCTGCTCAGGCATCTCTGGAGAGCAATGGGGCCAGCAGGCAGGAGAGCGGGCCAGGCCCCAGCTAGACCTGGGCTGTCATCATGAGGTCTGGCTGTTGCAAGGCCCTCACAGCCCCATGCTGTCACTGTGGGGCCAGACCCAGTTGGCCCTGGGCTGTCACCATGGGGACAGGCCTTGTCAGCCCTGGGCTTTCACCGTGGGCCAGGCCATGTTGACTGTGTGCTATCACCATGGGGCCAGGCCCAGCTGGCCCTGGGCTGTCACCGTGGAGCCAGGCCCACTGGCCCCAGGGGAAGTGTGAGGACCCAGCTGAGCTGTCATGTCCCCACACATCTGCAGCCCAATTGGCTGGGGCCCCCCTCCACCCAGGGACATGCCAGGAGCCCTTCCCCTCTCTCGGCATGTATGGCACCAGCAATGCCTGGGGCATGCGCTCAGCTCCTCTCCAAAGCGGGCTGCCTCACGCACACTGAGCCTCCTTCCTGCCCTCCCAGGGGCTGGGTGCCACTGTACCTAGGCCATGGCTCCTTGGAGAGGCCTTGTCCAGCTGGCCATGCCCTGGGCGCTGTTCCCCAGCCCTCGCCTCAGCTAGCAGCCTCCACGTCCTGAGAGAGCTGCATCCACAGAGGGACCAGGCAGGGACAGGACACACCACCCCAAGCTCCCTGATGGGATGACAGCATCTGACTGAACCCGGAGCCCAGCTCCCCATGCTCTGCCCCTTGGCTGTGTGAGTACCACGCATCCCACCTAAGACCAAGAGTTCCCTAGGGGGTCCAGCCCCATGGGAGAGGATGCAGGAGAGGGGAGAAAGGTCGCCGTAGGACAGCCCTTTTACAGCCCCACGTGGGGAGAGGGCCCATGAGTTCCCATGACTCCCCAGCCCCACTGAGCTATCTAAGGCCGGAGTGGTGTGTACGTGGCACCCAAGCACAGCTAGCTGGGGGAAAGCGAGCCCTACAGCTGCTCAGGGTGTTCACCAGCCCTGTGAACCAGAGGTGTTCACCAGCCTTTCCTGAGCAACTGTTTGGGTCCCATAGCCCCTGGGGCGTCCGACCTCCTCAGCGACAGGCACCAGCCCGTGACATCTGCCCCTGGCTCCTTTGCTTCCTGGAGGGGATGTTTCCAGAGCCCAGTTATGCTCCTATAGGACCCATAGGCTGTCACTTTTGGGTTCTCCAGGTACAGCCCTGAATCAGGAGAGCTGGCTTGCAGGCACTGCTACATGCAAGGATAAGGACTGGGTCCATGCCAGGAAGGGGCCTGCTCTCCACGAGCTCACACCCCACACACAGTCCGTTGCTGTCACAGGCAGACCCAGCAGCGCTGCTGTTTATGGACACAGGTTTATTGAGGACATGGGCACAGCTCGGTGCAGCAGCAAAGGGACCTGCTGCCAGAATCCTAGCACGACGCTGGGCTGGTGTCTCACCAGGACACTACTTTCCCTTCCCAGTCGAGGAAAGTCCCGATGTCCTTCTCAGAAAGTGTAGAGAGAACATTCAGCATCCCCTGTACGCTCATATCCACTGTCACTGGGGGCTGCAGGGACAGAGGGAGGAACACAGCTGTGAGCCTAGGGCCTGGCAAAGGCCTACCCTGCACTGGGCCAAAGGAAGGAAGCAGCTCAACAGGAAATGGAAAGCAGAGAGCCTTAGGAAGAAGGACTGAGCAGGGAACTAAGGTGATAGGGGACACCAGGCACCCCAGGCTGGCAGTCACTGCAGGGTCCTGGGGTAGGGAGAGCTGCCCACAGCAGTGATGGAGCCGGCAAGGAGGTCTTGCCTGTCAGTAGGTAGGTCAGGAGGGATAAGAAGGACCCGGGGTAACAACTGCCTCCCCTGGGAAACCAGCACAGGGGCCCTGATGGACTTGCCCCAGTGAAACTCCTACCGCGTGTCCGGCTGAGGATCCCATGTCTGTTTGCACCCAGCCAGGGTGGAGAGCAGCACAGAGGATGCCATGCTCCCGGTACCCCAAGGACTGGCACTTGGTGAGCATGTTCAGAGCAGCCTGTGGGGAGACACCGTAGAGATCATGGTGGGGAGGAAAAAGGTCCCCTCCTGCAGGGAACACATGCAGACCCCAAGGCAGGGGTAAGGGAGCGCAGGAGAGCTTGTGCCCAGCACACTGTGGCAGTACCTTGCTGCAGCGGTACGAGACAACTTGCAGAAGATCCCAACCATAGATCGAATCAATGGAGCCCCCATTGCTGGATATGTTGATGATGGCTGCCTTGCTGCAGCTCAACTCAGAACCCGGGCTCCCCTGGGCAGCCTTCTTCAGCAAGGGCAGGAATG